GTTCGCCACGGGCAGCTGCTGCTCTCCAGCGGGGTCCCCTCCCTGGACTGTGTGCTAGGTTGGTGGGGAGCGGGACCTGGGTGCTGCCCTCCCCCGCCCGGCGGCCCTCTCCTTCGCCAGGCCCTGCCTGTCATTTACCTGCCGTGACCCCCCGGCTACTCCCGCAGGCTTTTCCTCCCTCCCCGCAGTTCCCAGGATTGGGGGGAGTGTGGGGGGGAGAAGAGGAAGGGGCAAAGTAGGATCCGTTTCCCGCCTTGAGCCCCCCCGCCCTCGTGTGAGGAGGAGGCGGTACAGGCGGCAGCGCCTGCTTTGTAGTCTGCCTGCGGAGGAGAAGATTGCTCTTTGCCGGCCATTTAAATCCCTTTAAGCAGCCTTTCTAGAGTGGAAAGCTACTTTGTAAATTTCTTAGTAACACATTCCTGTCATATTTCACCCTGTCACGGTAGAGAGTCTGAAGTTTTCAGGTTTGAAAAACACGTTTGCTGAATTAATTCGTAGTTGAATGTGTGGTAATTTTTAGGGTGTGTTTGACCATAGGACTGAACTCTTAGTGTGGCTTTTCTGCCTTGCCTGCCGCTGCTACATCATTGTAAGTGCCCCGTTTAGATAAGTTACACTGGTGTGACGCTGTTCTTACTGCCTGTGAATCTGCTTTTGCCTACTGTCGGTGTCAGATAGTTCCTTGGATGATCCGTTGTGGCCATTGCTATGTTATAATCTGTGGCATGGACTAGCACCGTTTACTTGGATTGGGAATGAATTCATTTCACAGGTATAAACTGCATGTTTTGTCCGTATGCATTAGGGCTGCATGATCCTTTTACTAACTACTGATACCATTGCAGTTCGCCTTCAGTATACATAGATGGGACTACTTTTAGGTGAGGAAGGCTTGACTTCAGCTTTGCTCAGTCATCCCTGGAGGAGTACATGAAATATAGGAATATAACATTTTTCTTTCTAAGAATATTCCATATGGATAAGGATACATATAAAAGTTGTATCCATTCTATAAAAAAAGTTTTTGCAGCCTGTGTAACTTAAGGAGAACCACATTTACGTATCTTTTGTGTGTGTGTCTGTCTGGTAGGGAACATCTGCATTTCCATCAGGGTTTGGCATCCTTGTGGAGAAAGCTCTTCTTCCTTAAGAGAGAAGTATTTCATTAAGTGAGTGCAATTTGTGAAGCCCTTTGGTTGCATAAATATAAGATTTGCATTGAATATTCCAGCTCTTGTTCATATTCCCTTTTATAAAGAGTGGATTTTGCACAGCATAGGTCAGAAGATGTAGACAGCTCCCATGGTGGCAAACCCCTAAATGTCCAGGCATTTGCTAACATAATTAGTGGTTTGTTATGGAAACCGGGGAGACTTCTTCCAGTAAACCCAGGATCCCTTCTAAAATACCTTTTCCTTGTCATTTAAATATTCAATTATTTCCTGACCTTTACAAGTTTTACACTAGAACAAGACAGTTCATCAACCCTAGGAATAGCAACTTTTGAAAATACTTTTACAATGTTTTTTGGTTTGTGGTGTCTTTGAATAACTGGGAAACCCTATATTCCTGTCTTAAATTTTTGGTAACCTCCTAGCCTGGTTGTCGCTGATTTCTGGAGGCTGAGTGGGTAGGCCAGGAAAGACTCATGCCAAATATGCTGTACTATAATGAAATTTCAATTGATACCAGATATTAGGCAGCTAGGTGGACCTGTACAGAAACACTGATTTTGGAGGCTGGACCAGGACCTCAGGAATTCATCTATTGCAGCCTTAAAGCAGGCTCAGCACTGAATTTGGAGTTGGTTGCTCAGGGCTTTGTCCAGTTGAGTCTTGAAAATCTTTAATGGCAAAGATTTCACAGCCTCTCTGGACAACCCAGGCCAATGCTTAATTATCTTTGTAGGGAATTTTCTTTTTCCTTATATTCACTTGGAACTTTTCCTGTTCCAATTTATGCCTGTTGTTTCTTGCCCTCCTGCTGTGCACCTCAGAGAAGAGCTCAGCTGTCTTCTCAGTAGCTTCTCTTTGATGCCAGCTCTCAGGTCTTCCTCTCTTCTCCAGGTTGAACAGGGCCAGTTCCTTCAGCCACTCCTCTTGAGTCATTTGCCCCATCTAAGTTCCCCTCTGCCAAACTCACTTAAGTTTATCTTTACTTCTTTCTTGTACTGAGGGGCCCAAAACTGGACGTTGTATTCCAGATGTGATTTAATGAGTGCTGAGTAAAGGGGAGTAGTCACATCCCTTGACCAACCAACTGAGCTTCTGTTGACGCAGCCCACTATGCTGGTGACTGTAGAAGTATTGTACTTGGTCTCCTTTGTGTCCCTTTTGGGGGTGTCTGGAAATGTTTCCTAAGTGTCTTGCAGAATGCTATTTATGTGTTTCTTAAAGAATGCTGTTACTTTTTTTCTTTCATCTTGCCCACTAGCATTTAAATAATTGACTGTACAAAATATTTAATTTTATTGTCACCAGGGACTGAGGACAAACCTTTTTGTATAAATTACCAATGGTAGTTACTATAAACTCTTTTAGTCTTGTATTTTTCATAGACATATTTTTTAACTGTCACCAGGCATAGTCTTCCAGCTCTCACACTTTGGGCTTGGATTTGAGTTGGCTTTGTCCAGAAAATGCGACCCAAATATGGAATTATTTGCCAAACATGAAGATACAGCTTATGAATAACTGTGAATTAAAAATGTGAAAATGTGAAAGCATGGTGTTATCAGGTCTAATTAGAAACTTTTGGAGACGAAAAGGAAGAATTTTTTTACGCTACAGCTACTGGCCAATTTGTTACATTATTGTTGATGGCTAGCTCTTCCTTAATAAGTGCATTTCCTTTCCAAAAGAATTGGTAGATATGTGCTGGATTTCAAAAGCCATGTTACCATTAAGGTGCTTCTTACATCTCCAGGTTTCGTCTTCAAGTTTACTTTCAAGGTTTATAGGCCATATATGCCTGATCTGTGCTGAAGCAGTTCTCTGTAATGAGCTGTAACTACTGTGTAATATAACCATCGCACACTTGGTATTGAATGTTTTGTTTCAAGATGCTTGAAAAGGGTCACAGATATGCTTTGAAAACTATCAGGACACTTCTCAAGCTGCAAAGTTTGTTGTGTTTCTGTCCCTAAGCTCTTAAATCTCATTGCTGTAGGTAGCAACGCAGAAAGTTACGAGTGTTGCTTAGTTGTTTACATGTAGTACTGCCTTAGATACTGGCAAAAATAAAATTAAAAATGTTAAAATAAGAAAGAATTACAAGTTCACAGCAGTTTTCTTAGGAAACCTGAAGATCTTACCTCTTACTTTTGGTTCTATGAACACTCCTGCTACTTTTTCCTGTCATGTTTTTACTATTATTGTTGCTCATTGTAATATGAATATGTAACCATGGTGACTGCAATAGTTTTACATTCCATGTAATAGAATACACTTGTTCAAACTGTTCACTACATCTGATAATGTAAAGCCAATCCTCTGACCTGAGTTTGCCTGGACCATGCAATTATAATGGTGGAGGGCATTTAAAATGCATTTACTGAGAAGAAACATTGTTAGCTGTCTCCTGATGGCAATATAGTCCACTGCATAGCTCCCCTTCCGTCATTTTATTTCGGATTTCTAAAATACAGCATGCAGCAATAAGTTACAGGATGGGAAAACAACTCATTCTGACGAAGTTACACTGAAGTACACAGCCCTGCTTTGGCAATTGGTTATCGTTGTTCAAATGGCCCAAGTACTCAGCTTGCATCAGTACCAGACAAGCTTGCCTATAATGCTCCCAGGACATTTCCAGATCCTACCTGTAGCCAAATTAAATTTGTAAAACAAAAGAGACAGGACCACCCCATCTAGGAAACCCCCTGCCTGCTGCTGGCTTGCTTCACCCACGGGCCAGGATCTACGACTTGTCAGAAACCTGGCCAGGTCTCAGTTCTCGTCCAAGTCCGCTTTGCTCAAGCTCTGCTATAACTGACATGTATTTAAATTCATTAGATCTGTGGTTGAAGGTCTCCACTAATTTGTAGGTCTCAGAACGATCCGTTGCATAGAAATGTGCATGTATTTACAACTCTGCCTCGTAGAAAGAGATTGATGATCTGAAAATATAGCTTGTGAGAATTTTGACTGTGCTGACATACTCTTTGGCAAACAAATTCTCTCCTGTGCAAGCAATTTAAAAGCAGAATAGGCATGACTTCTGTGGTGGCTACAAGTGAGCTTTTTATAATCAAGATTGTAAATCCTTATTGCCATGTATTGCCATGTGATACGTTACTTATGGCTGGTTTTGTATGGTGGATTAGAACATGGGGATTTCATTAGTTGGTTGTTGTGTTTGGTTTTTTTTTTATCTAGGAAGTGCTTGATTACTCGATAAGCTTGCTGTAAATATTGAGGCGTTTGTACATCTTGATTCAGGAGCATAGCTTAAAAAAATCTGTGATGTGCTGAACAACTATGAAATTAGTAGCTGACTAAACATTTGTGCTTGGTGTACTGCTCAAATTGTGGTACATCATGACATGATGCCAAAGTAATTCTGCAGTGGTTTTAATTCAGGTGTTAATATGTGACTATATTAGCACTTTTTGGCTTATGGGAGAGAAATTTGCTTTTTTTCTTCCCTCTGGGTATATATCAACATTACAGGTGCTAAAGACATTCGCAGTCCCACCAGCAGAGCTAAAGATTAAGAATTGATCCAATCCGTCTTGGAATCAATTTCAAGTGGAGTTTAATGAGCTCTTAAATTGGTAGACTGAATTATCATGTTCACTAGAGTCCACCTACGCAGTCCAGAACCGCCTTATTTTATCAAGAGCTTTGGATATCATCCTGATGTGATTCAGTATGCTCCTAGCTTGCTTTTAAAGCAGTATGTAATTGCAGAAGACATACTGCAGTTTCCTTCATGCAAAACATTGAAATAGGCTAGTTACATATGGCCATCTGAACACTTGCAGGAATTTTGAGCTTTCCTGTCACATGATTGTGCAATAAAATATTTGTAGTCTGATTTCAAGTTATTCCACTATTTTCAGTCTTGGAATTCAGATTATAGAACAGTTTGCTCTTCACCTAAAATAAAATATGAATTCTTCTTTCACCATCTTTGTTAAAATTTCTTCTTGGGACAACCATTTAAACCGCTGTTACATAATTATGCTTGCTGTCTCTGCAAGAAGGAAATAAAGCAGTCAGGATGGGAATTCATAGATTTTTTTTTTTTTCTTGGTCCTCCACACTGTTGAGATCAGTGGGATAAGAATCTATGTATCAAAACATATTGGCAGATTCTGTTCTATTATTCATTCAGTTGTCTTTGATTGGAACATAAGCGTTGATTGTAATCATTTAAGCAAAAAGAAAGCAAAGTAACAGTGGCCATGTATAAATCCATCAAAATGTATTTTTATTTTTGAACAAATATTTCAATCAATCAACTGCATTCATAGAATTGTTTTTATGGCCAAGACATACTAGAAAAGACTTTAATAGTATATTTTTTTCAGATGTGTGTTAAGACCTTTATGATCTGTCAGTCCAGGTTTCACTGGGTGAAATCCTACCTGCCTTATTGTCATGCCTGTTTCCAGTAATAAGATAAAAACCTGTGGAGCCAGGATTTTGCCTGATTGACTTGGGTGGGAATCTGCTAGCCTCTTAGCAGGTCACTTTATATACATGGTTCTTGGTACAAAGGAATATCACTTGGTAGCGATTAATACAGAATGTTTACTCACTTGAGTCATGCAAGTGAAAATTCGCTGGCTCAGACCGTACATCATTATCGTAGTACTTGAGTGTAGTTGCATAGAGCTCTGCAGGATCTTTTTACCACAATGATGATAGTACAGTATATTGTGAAAGTAATTGTAATGTGTAATATGTAATTACATGTAATGTATAATTATTTCATAATAGAGAATTGTAGGAAGTATTGCAAAGGTAATTAAAATGTTGTTCACTTTTATATTTTTAAATTCCCCGTTATCACCTTTCTTTGACTTATAAACTAAGAAAACTTAATTGTTCTCTAACATAGTATTAAAATGTAGTCTTACTTTATTCTTCATTTTGTTTTGTTTCCAGGTGGAGGCGTAGCTGTTGGAACCCTTCTTCTTATTGGTTAGTATAGAATATATAGATACTTAAGGCCTTATTCTGATATGTTTTGCTCATTTTAATGTATCAAATAACCTGTCTTTTCATTGTTTATTAAGCTCAGACTTTAAGAAAGTATAACTCTCAGGCCCCTTCACTTTGGATAGCCTTAGGAGTGGACTATTGTCTATTTCAAGAATTACTGGAGGTGGATCAAAACCTTAAGACAGGTTTGAGCCTCCAGGAAGAATACTAAAGAATTCTGTTTGAAAGTAGGGCATTTAGCAAATTTCAGGATTTTTTAGGAAAATTTTCAAATTATTTAAGATTTTCTAAACTACTTGATTTCCTGTGAGATTCAGACTGTTTATCATCACAAAGATTTTTTTTGTTTAATTTGGCTTTTGAGGAAGATGTGAAATACAGAATCTTTTAATCTTTTTGTTGCCAGAATCATCTAGGAGAAAGCTGATGGAAGCCTGCTTTCTGTCAGGATGTGGATGACGCACACTGAGATGATTAAATAGGTTACATCAGAATTCCCTTTGCAGACTACATTGAAGCTGTCTTTGTAGACTGTACCGTGTCTCTATTGTAGCTGAGATGCTCAGCTTTCCTTTCTATTTGAAGTGTAGCAAAGGGGAAAAGGACTATTGTACACATACATCTTCTCTTCATATCCACAGGATACTTACTGGACCTTAGAGCTGAGAAACATTTCCCAGACCCCTCGGTTTAAGCACAGCTACCAAAACCACAGCTGTGAGGGAAGATTAACTTCTTGCAAGTTAGTCTTGTAAGTGCTTACAGTTTCAGCATGTAAGTAAAGAAGATCATTGTTGCAGAAGAGAAATTGAAAGAGATACCATCTGATTTGTCACATCAGTTCATTAATCTTGGGGTTCTAAGGGTACAAAACTACTTCAAAGTTATGTAAGGCCTGAATCGTGATAGAAATGTGATTTTTTTTTTTTTTTTGTATCTTAAATGTTTATCAGATTAATGGTCCTTATGAGAAACTTTCAAGCTTGTTACTTTCCTAGCAAAAAGAACTGATAATACAGGAAAAAAATGAAAGGTTACTGGAGAAACACCTGTAGTTATGTGGAAAACATCTACATGTGTAATCTGTGTTCACATCTTAAATAGTATAACAATTTAAATACTACTTTTTGATACCAAGTTGCTGGAACAGAGAACTAGGAACCTAGGGAGAATAGATCTAGTTCTTAGCTTTCCAGTCACTGCAATTTCTGTGAACTGTTGGAGTACAGAGAGTTGTGTGATTGTTTTCTCCCACTGAATAAGAGGTAAAGTACTTCAATTTCCTTATTTGTAGGAGTGATGAAAACTTGTATCAAAATATACCAAAAAAACATTTGAAATACAAGCAATGTCTGAGTGCCTACATATTAAGTGCCAAAAATCCTGCATTAAAGCCTTAAAAATGGATTTATTATTTTAAGTTCAAATAGTGGATTACAGGAAGACAACTGTCAATAGGTTTGAAATTGGTAGGTAAATTCTGGAAGATAAAAGTAAAAAAGGTGTTATTACACATAAAAATGCCAGTTTCTTATTGCAGAAGATTGAAAGTGTAGTAAGGTGCCATTTTGGCTAAATCCCGAGCTTTTGAATGCCTCACAGATTGTTGAGGATCAGTGCAAAATTGTAAAATGGGAGTATTGTAAAAAAAAAATTTGTAAAATGGGAGACAAAATCTGAAAAACTCAGGTACAGAGTAAGATACAACTAGCAAGAATTATCAAGAGTAATACAGGTTTTTCTTAAGTACCTCAACAGTTATAAGAAGTCCAAGAGAAGGGCTGATTGGTTACGTGATGAAGTGGAAAAGCTAGTCATAGCTGATACTGAGGAAGGGGAAAGTTGTAAAAATTTTTGTATTAATCTTCACCCAGAGGGAGTGCTGAAATCTCGTAACTATCATAATGGAGAACAGTGAGTAGATTTCAGCTTTGCCTAGGGAAAAAGCAGACTAGTATATGCCTAGGTGATTTGGGTAGTTTCAGATAAGATTGTGTCTGCAGAGTATTTTAAGACCTTGCTGATGAAGTGTCTAGGACCCTCAGTGTTTATGAGAAATGGTAGAGGACAATGAAGGAAAGAAGGAACTGGAAGATTAGAAAATATAAATACAGTTTCTATTTTTGAATGCTGTTGGTGGTGTTGCTGAATTGCAGGCCTTGAACTACAGTTCAGAAGAAAACAAGGATATAAGTAGCCACCAGTATGTTGAATAATCTTTCTGTATGAGAGAATGAACTTGTGGATAGTCCTTACAGCAGGACATGCTATTTATCTTCGCTTTAGCAGTTCTTCTGACATTAGTTCAAATGGCATTCTCATAATCAAAGCTAGGAACAATATTCCATGTTCATTTCTAATATGCATTCTCGGTGTTTTTAATGCAAACTAGCTTCACAATTTAAGAGATTTCCATTCCATCCTTCCTGTTATGTCCTTCTTGATGTTTTATAGGATTTTTACTTCCAGGTTTAGTATCCTGATCACTTGAAAATATTTCTGTTAATATCGTTTAGAATTCATTGGCAAGAAAGTTATGCAAAGACAAAAACATCATGTCTCTAGTGATAGGCACCACTAGGCTAGCAGCTGTTCAGAGTGTGGCTTTTAAGCCTTAAAAAAGATCCAATCAGCAATTTTCAGTCATTTTCTGAAAGGCATGAAAACAGTGTGGTCCTACCATTTTATCTGTATTTACTTTCGCTGTGGAATGACAGCCATCACATCAGAGACTGGTCTGCATTTGTATCTAATTTCAGTTAAAATATTTTGAATTGTTATAATATTTTTAATTAGTCTTAATACTAAAGAACCTAACAGTGAGATTTAGGGAGAACTTACTTGAAGTCTGTTTTAGCCACTATTGGGATTGCATCATGTTATCTTTGTTGGTATAAGGCTCATGTGAACCTGTGCTAGAAGCTGAACAGCATTTTCTGTTTGCCAGTGAACAAGGTAATTGCTCTTATTATGGCTTGTTGTTACTTCAAGGCTAATTTTTATTTCTGCATTTTATCCATCGTTAGAAGCAGGTGTTGCTGTCTCACTGAATCTTAGAAAATCTTGGGTTTTACTTAAAGTCTATAAATTAGCTTATGTTATGGTGCAGATTAAGTAATTTGCGTAGTTGCCTACCAGAAAAAATAACTGACATTTCTGAATTCCATGTAGGCCGCTCTCAGTGTAATGGCTACGACGTAAGCTCAGATTTTTTTGAGAAAACTGAATTGATACAGCAGTTCACTATTGCTAAAAGAAGTTGCCCAAATCCTTCTCCCCATTCTTGGCTCTGCAGCCGTGTTGTTCCTTGAGCTGGCGCTAGTGCTTTTCCGCTCTCAGCTCTCCAGGTTGACAGAAAACTGTTTAGTGACCTGAATCAGTTCACTAACATGCAAGATGAGTACCAGACCCAGCACAAGGGAAAGAAGGACTGCACAGTGAGAACTAGGAGAGAGAGTAGAAATTACCTTTTTCAAAGCAGAAAGTGTTAGTTAAGTTTAATGTTCTAATGAAATTCCACCCAAATTTCTGTGAATTCAGGAAAAATGATAGAAGTTTTCTCTCTTACTGCTTTCAATGAAGATCTTGCTTTCCTCACTTAGTTTGAGGAGAGCTGCTGTGGACAAAGGAAGAATTAAAAAATGGTATAACCGATCATATTTTACACAGATCAGAGATCATGAAACTAGATGAGTTTTGGTTTTTCTTCCCATTAAAATATTCCCTGCCCCTTCCAGTAGATGAACCGGGTGACATCAAATGAACCTGCCAGCTGGAAAATTGTCATTAAACAAAAGACAGTTGTTTTTAAGGAAGTGATCCACAGAGCGCAAGAGCTCTTGATCCCTAGGTGTAAGAAATCGGGCAAAGAAGGGAAGAGACCAGCATGGCTGAGATGAGAGATGCTGGTCGAACTAAGGAGGAAGAGGGAACTGCACAGGCAGTGGAAGCAGGGACAGGCATCCTGGGAAGAGTATAGGGACGCAGTCCGGTTGTGTAGGAATGGGGTCAGGAAGGCCAAGGCGCAGCTGGAGCTAAACTTGACTAGGGATGCAAAGAATAATAAGAAGGGTTTCTACAGGTATATCAGCCAGAAAAGGGTGGCTAAAGACAGCGTACCCCCGCTGATGAGCGAGACCAGCAAGCTGGTAACAGCAGATGAGGAGAAGGCTGAGGTACTCAACACCTTTTTCGCCTCACTCTTCACTGGCAACTCTCCTCACCCCTCCCAAGTTGATGGATGGCATGAGGGGGACCGGGAGGGCAAAACCCCTCCTGCTGTAGGAGAAGATCAAGTTCGTGACCGCCTGAGGAACCTGAATGCACATAAGTCCATGGGACCTG